AACCAACCAGAAATCTCTAAAATCAAAAGTAATCAAATATTTACCTTGTAATTGAAAAAATATCAATAAAACTCTCATAGAATATTTAATAGTAAGCAACAAACTTTCCTGATGACTCACCAAGATAAAATAGCTGCCAAGTGTATATCTGGGAACAGAAGGATTAAATTGCCATGTACATCTGTTAACTAGATGGCAGAAAAATGTTGGTGAGTGTTTAACCAAAATAATGTGATTTTAGTATTATAAACTACTTCTGAAAGCCTGGCTGATGACATAAAACACACACCTTCTAATCTTCATCAATGAAAATGCTTTTGTGTTGTTCTCTGAATGATGTTGTCATACACAGAGATATTTTCTTCTTTTATTTTGTTCTGTGGATGTTAAATGTTTAAACTTTTGAATACTGAAAGTTTAAATGTTTTTTAAAACACATTTAAACATCAAAACAACTTGCAGAACACATTCTGGTCAACAGTGTTTCTTCGTCCTTCAGGAGACCACACATGTAAGCTTGACCTACCAGTAACATGGAAAATGGATTTTAAACCAGGGAGTTTAAATTGAGCAACTGCAGCTGACTCTGTTAGACACATTTTCACGTGTAACGGTCAGCTTCCCCACTGCTGGGACACAGTACCTGACACCCACACCTTTTTCAGAGGTTTCAGTCCATGGTGGACTGGATCACAGGCAGAACATCACGGCGTAAGGGTGTGGTGAGGCAGAGCTGCTTCTGTGTGGTAGAGGAGAGGTGCTAGTTCACACAGCTGGGGAGCAGAGACGGAGAAAGCACAGCAGCAAGAGCTAGAGAGACACACCCTCCGGAGGCACAGCCCTGAGACCTTCCTCCAACACCGCGCCCTGCCTTGTAACAGCAAGTTCAGCTATAAAAAAGCCTGCCTCTGAGGGTTCCCACCTGCAGACCTTGTCTTCCTCTGAGCTGCCTCTAGCTAATTTCTGACAATTTTCTTGAATTAAAAAAATTTTTCTTCACTTGACATTATGGTCCCAAGTTGCATCTATTTTCCTACCAATGGCTCAAATTTATCCTTTATAGCAGAGTAGTAAGACACACAAGCTTAATTTAGAAATGGGAAGAAAGGAGCTAAAGGTGTAGGGAAGGTGGGGTGGGTAGGGGAAGGGTAATAAGGGAAAAGAAAAAAATGTGAGATAATGAAAAGATAGAAATAAAGTGTTTGTAGATGGGGAGGGGAGAAGAGGGTGAAGGGAGTGCAGGGACAAGGGGAAAAAATGAGAACCAAAACTTGTCATGTAGAGATACAAGATCCCAACAATGAATATAACTGTACCGTATCCCTAGAATGTACCAATAAACTCAATTAAAGCTGAAAAACAAAGACACACAAGCTTAAATATTCCATGGTTTCTCTCATATGAAAAACTCAAAGTATAAATAAATTAAAGAGCAAAATGTAAGATACATAATAGGAAGCAGGGAGACAGATCTTTTGCAAATGGGAAGGGGGCCAAGAGATGGAAGGAGAGGTAAGGAAGGGAGTGGAAAAGGATGTAAAAAGAAATAAGCTGCGTCATGTGCATGCACCAACTTCCCATGAGGAATATAATCATGGACTGCTAATAAAAGTCAAAATTAAAAACACATTTTTAAGCAAACACAATTATTTTCTCACGAGATTTTTAAATAGTTGGCCAAAGTGCAGTAGGAACACAGCCATTTATATTCCTGATCCACCGTGGGTTTCAGATGGTTAGTGACTGCTCCTTCTAAGAGGAAGGGATCACAGATGTGATGTAATGTAGCCAGGTCATTAGCTTGACTTCATTACTGGTATTGGACAAAATTAAAGATGCGAATCCAGTCTTATGCATTATCACTTACAGAAGTTCAAGCCCTGACTACCGAATTCTAGCAGGAAAATTCAGATATTATACACATTATATTAAACTCTCTTTGTATATAAGGCCTTAAAGAATCAACCCAAAAACAAACCACCCACTTGATATAATAAATTTAGCAAAGTTACCAGATATAAGATCAACACGAAAAATTTATGCCTATAGATTGGCAATAAAAATATAAACTTAAAGCTTCACGTATATCATCAAAAGAATAAAATAAGGAAAAAATTAGACAAAGAGGTGCAAGATTTACACAAATCATATACTGAAAACTATGAAACATTGAAAAATTAAAGATGTACTAAATCAATGCAAAACACCTTGTGTTTAACAGTTGGAAGATTTAATCACAGCTGGATTTTTTGGTCATAACTGAGAAGCTGATCCTAAAATTCATATCAGGAATAGAGCCAGGGATTTAGTTCAGTGGTTCTGCTGCCTGTCTTGCATGCACAAGGTCCCAAGTTCAATCCCCAATATGAAAAAAAAAATCGTATCAAGACTTAAGGGACCCACTAAAGCCAAAGCATTCCTGAAAAAGAACAAAATTTAAACACACACATTTCCCACTTCAAAATCTACCACAAAGGTACAGTAACCAAGACACTGAGATCTTGATTCTGGATAGATATGTAGTTCAACAGAATACAACTGAGAGTCCAGAAATAGCGTGTTTGTGATCAACTGATTTTTAACAAACAATCAAAGCCATTTATCGGGAACAAATATAGTAGTCTACTCAACCAATGTCACTGGGATGATTAGATATCCACAGGCAAAAAAATGAAGTTGGATACCTACCTCACCTCAAAGGGTAAACAAAGATGTAAATAGAAGAGCTAAAGCTATAAAACTCCTGGAAGGAAATACAAGTGCAAAGCTTTGTGCTCTTAGACCAGGAAATCATTTTTAAAATATGAGATGAAAAGCACAAATATTCAAAGGAAAAAACAGACAAATACACTTAATCAAAGTTAAAGGCTTTCCTACAGTGACATTTAGAAATATGCAAAAAAACAAAAGTTAGAATAGATAAACAGGACCACACCAAAAATAACTTAAAAACTGTATACACCAAATGAACAGTGACATTATCATTTTGTGCCATACATATTAAGGAAACACTTAACTTTGGGTAGTTACAACCCAACTGCATTAAAGATGCTTGATCCAGTCAGATGTTTTTATAAAGTACTTGGGAATTTCCGTCTGTACATCCTCAGGAACAGGATTTATAATCAAATCTTGTAAATTTTTGGTAATGAAACAAAAAATAATATTTTGACCTCTTCTCATTTTTGTGTGAGATTTGTCTTATCCCTTCCTCCCTTGGTACTGGGTGTTAAACCCAAGGCTTTCACACTGAGCTACATTCCCAGCCTTTTTTATTTTGAGACATGGTCCCAATAAGTAACTAAATTGCCTAGGCTGGGTTTGAAGTAGGATCCTCCTGCTTCAGCCTCCCTTGGGATTATAGGTATATGGCACTATGTCAGCAAAATAAAAACACCTTTGACTTATAGTATTCCACAATAATTTGATGAATTTTTGACATTATTGTGAGTTACAGTCTCACATATGAGGAATTATCTCTGATGTGAAGCCTGTTTTATTGGCTTTTTTCAATTCTTACTCCAATTCTGAATGTTTGTCACTTCTGTAATTATCCTATTGTCGCAAAAGTTCTATAACCATGCATACAAATACACACTTGAAAATTGTTTTACACTATGTATAAATAGTTCTGAGGCTCAGAATTTTGGCAAGGGTTGCGTTTTATACCCACTGCATTAAACTTGTGACCTGAACAGCAACCACATCCTGTGTTTAATTACTTACTCTTCTCTTAGAAAGTAGTCTGCTTTACATGTTTTTGCCCTTTATTTTCAACTTCCATCTTAATTTTGGTATGTTTTTATCAAGTATCCCAGAGTCATTATATCTACATATATTATATGAACATAGGTTTCTTACTTAGCTAAGGAATGTAAGATTTCACATTTTTCACTGTAAAAGTCAAATCCATGTTGCTGGCAACTTTGTTCATCACAGATTCACACAGCCCATGGCTTTTTCTTTTATTGACTCATTTAGCATATTTATTTCAATTTATTATTTATTAATTTTGTCTGCAGAAAAGATATTCATTTTGAATCTGTGCATCTAGAAAGATTTGTTTACCCTAACACATAAATGATGATTTTGCTGTGTTTTGTTTTATGGTGAGACCTTTAAGAATGTTCTTTTTCTACAATTCAGAACTCTTACAGTAGTCACTTCTCAATTTTCCTTTTGGCATATCGTACACTGAAACTGAAAATTAAAATCTTCTTTCACACAGAGAACTAACTTACTTCATTTTTGTCCTTGTTTCCTTCCTTCCTTCTTTCATTTTTCTTTCTTAAAAGTTATTTCATATTTTCCCTTCTTGAATTCTTTTTGAAAATCTTGTTAGATGGCTATTAGAATTCCAACAATCTTCTTTGTTTTTAAACTTTTCTTTCACTTTGTTTGCCTTTTTTCTTTTATAACATGTCATGAGAGTTCTCCAAGTGTATCTTCCAGATGAATACTTAGAACTTAAGCCATCTAATATAAAATCATTCCATTTTTATATCGACCTCTCTCTGTCTCTGTCTGCTTTGGTTCCCAAGAGCTCTGCCTTTGTTTGGTTTCATAGCTGGCTGCTCTTTTAACACAGCCTCGTGGGTTAATGGCTTCCACATCCTTTTCTAGTCTGTTTGGAATTTTCCCAAGTTCCCCTACTTTGTCTTTGAGAATTTTTGGACTTGACATTAGCGTTGTTTGTGGAGGTCCTACCTGTGTGCTCTGTTTCATTCAAATGTCTCTTTGTTTTCACAGTTCGTCCGTTTATCACAGAAACAAGGCTTCAAGAGCTGTTGGTGTTGGGCTGCCCTTTGCAACTCCCAAGCACAGCAGGGGCTGCAGGCTCGGTGGCGGCCATGTTCTGGTTCCCGGATGTCCCGAACTGGGTGTGCGGTCCCTTAGCGCCTCCTGTAGTTTGGAGCAAGTACCTCGTGGAGGGGCGGAAGTGCGGTCACTGGGGCGTGGTCTCAGAGAGGAGGCGACCCGCCCCTTCCTCTGTGCTTCCTGGTTTCCAGGAGGTGAGAAGCACATCTCCCACCAACATGTCCTGTGCACCCTGGGCCTGCAGCACCAGAACTGTGAGCCACATACCTCTTCCCTCCTCCTCACTGCCTGCACCGCATGTCTGTCCCAGCGGGAAAGCTGACCCACAGGGTGGTCTGGGGATGACCGTGCCATGGGTCACTGCTGCTTGAGGGGCTGGGCGCGCACACAGAGCCCTGTTCCCATCAGGGTCTGCAGCCGACCGAGACCCTGGTGTCCTCGCCATACACTGACACTAAAGAGAACAGAAGTCAGACATGGCTGCTCTTTGTACAGGTGAAGGAGAGTATGTCAGACGCCCTCTTCTGTAGACTGCTAAGCGTGCACCTGGCACTGGTGGCCCCTCTGTGGACTTTTCTGAATTAAGTGCCACAACCCTCGGCCACAGCGTGGCACCTATCCCTAAGTATTTAAATCTTTTTAAAAATCTATAACTTTGCAGGGGCTGTTCTTTTATGGACCTTGTAGCCTTCACATTTCCCTGCAGGCATTAAGCGCAAGCATTTTAAGCATCACCTGCTCACCTCCAGATAAGTCTTGTCCTCTGGAGACTGAAGGTGCGAAGCTGGTCTCATGCGCAGGCCTGGCCCGAGCCCTCACTGGCTCCTGCTTAGGGTCCAGTCTCCGTGCCTCCACTCGCAGCCTCTTTCCATGCTGGGCCTCAGGGCACTCTCCTGAGTGACAGCAGTGGCCAGGGAGTTGTGGTCCAGGGGTCCTGTGTCACCCAGAGACAGACAGTGCCGAGCCTCCAGCCAGGTCCCCAGGATGAAGACAGGGATGTGTAGTGGAGCTGAAGGCAGAGCAGTGACTGTGGGGAACTGGACCTTGGAGGGCTCAGCTTCTGCTTTCTACTGTGAATTCCCTTGGGTGACAGCGATGGTGCCCGACTGCTCCCCAGTGACCTCCCAGAAATGACCCAAGCTGTCCCATCATTGCCCCAGTTTCTTAGCAAATAGTTTTCTTTTATTGTATGGTTCAATCGAGTTTTTATTTTTAAGGGGAAAATTTCTTGCCCTTGAAACAGTTTAAGGCCAAATTTAAAATGCAGTTTTTGTTGCTGCTCATTTCTGCTTATTTTATCAATTTTATGATTATGTGGAGCGTTTATCTTTGGGATATGACATGTAGCCTGCCTCACTTCTACCTTACTTTTAAAAAGATTATCTTTTAAGGCAAGCACAATAGTACATACTTGTAGCCCCTTAGCCCCAGGTACTTGGGAGGCTGAGTCAGGAGGATTGCCTGAGACCAGGAGTTCAAGGCCAATCTGTGCAAAATAGCAAGACCCCCATCTCAAAAGAAAAGAAGAGAAAGAAAAAAACAATCATCTCCTTTTTCCTTTGTGATGATATATGTCATTTCTTTTCAAATGATGCCAACTTCTCTCAATCAAAATGTTTTTCTCAAGCTAATAAGGAACTTCTGGAATTGGAGTGTGGCCACTTATTTTTCATTACATATGTATGTAAATGTTGGTATAAGACAGTGACTTTATTAGCTTAACTCAGTTTTACCCATGGTCTGCTGTTTCATCTTAATTGTCAACTTGGCTGGACAAAGACTTCCTGGAGAGGCAACTGCGCGGCTGGAAGAGGCACCCTTTCTCTCAAAGGAGCTGTCACCCAGCTCAGAAAATGTGTGCCTGCAACCTGCTGCAGGGAGTCAGGAATACAAATGGCTGTGTTCTTGCTCTTTTCTTAGCTGCCTGTTCAAAAAACAACTATGTGTGCTCAAAAAATGTTTTATAAATGCAGAAAATTGTCAGAAATAACCTAGAGGCTTCCCCCACAAAGACAGAGCCGGAGCATGGTGACACACAGGCAGAGCAGAGTCTGTGTCTTCTGAGCACCGAGGCAGCCCACCCGGGTTGCTCCTGTGCCCGGCAGGTTTGACCATGCCTGACTCTCTGCTGTCCACTTACGCACTGTGCCTTATGCTCACAGATGAACAAAAACCACCCTAGGAAAACTCAAAGGCACTTAAGCGGTGCGTGACATTTGTTGAGTGATTAAGCAGATTTTTAAAAATAAGTTGAAAAATTGAGGTTAATAGAGAAGTTTGTACAGGCATTCCCTCAGTGTCTTGGAATTCCATGAGGAAGATGTGCAGATCTGCTGCGGAAACACTGCCCACTTCATGGGACCAATGGCAACGCCCTGACAAGGGTGCAGCAGCCTCCTAGGGCCCCTCCTGCCCCATATCCCGGGGGTGGTGGTTGCTGTCACCCATTTCCTCCATGCACAGTGGAGAAAATACACATCACTCACCAGTACACATGCCTTCGCTTTTACTGTTGAAATAATTGGATGCAAAAAAATCAAAACAATTAGAACAGGCAGGCCATAGAACAAAATCATTTCTCCAAGTCTCAGGGACCCAGGAAGATCAGCAAGACTCCATGAGATTGGAAGCGCCCTAAAACAGGGCCGAGATGGTTGTAATAACAGAGCACTCCAGAGGCCCAGAGGATGGGAGCTCTACCCAGAAGCTGCAAGTGCAGAAACACTCCTGCTCCACCTGGTGGTCTTCAGTTTCACCTGCTGTGCTGTGATGCACCTGTGGTCCTCTGCTCCACGCCCCACATGCTGCACATGCTGCCCTCTTTGTGAGCCGCCCATGTTCTCAGACACAAACTGACGGCAGGAGAGCCAAGGCTTAGCTCCATGGCATCCCCCAGTACTGGTGCTTTGTCAGAGGGCAGGTAGCTGTAAACGCATCCCTGACTGTGGCATTTCTGATAGCATCAAGCAGGAAAAGATCTGTTTTTCCAGAGGGGCCAGCATTCCAAATGACCCTCCGTCCGCCTGGCTGCTCCGCCCTCCTCTCATGCCCTTGGGTGTCTTTTCCTATGTCCGGCAGCCAGCCGTGTCTCTGTCCTTTCCTGCCATTTGAAGATTGGCGTGGTCTGAAAGGAATCTCCGCCCTCCAGCTCCCAACAATAGAATGTCTGAAAGCAAACGCAGCAGCACCAAGAACTTCACCATGATCTTTTCTCATTATTCATAAAAATAGATAGGAAGCCATTGCAGAACCAACCCACGTAAGACCATGCCCTTGGGCATTCATCAGATCTCGTCTCAGATAACTGACCTACAAGTTAAAGCGCAGTAGACTGAGTAAACTCAGTAGACTCGGAATTGGAGAATAAACACAAGTGTGTGTCTTCCGCACAGAGAGAAAGCAGGGCCAGCAGAGCATTTCTCCTTCAAGTTCCAGGTCCCATCAGGGTCTTGGAGAGATGAGACGGAGAGCACCTTTTCACCTGAAAGCCTGCAGGAAAGAATTTAGGTGTCTACACCGCTACCAGAAGCACTAAAAATGTGGAGATAGCCATGCTTACTAGTTAGCATCAGTGTAGTAAAACCAGTCTGATAGACAACCCACACTGTTAGTAAGTTAACCATCTAATCTGTTAACGCTGCACTGTAATGTCTTATCTCTTTGCCATTACCATAGTAGATAATAACAAAAAAAACTTATCCCCACAGGATATTTAACTAAGTCTCAGAACAATAAATAAAGAATAAAGGGTTATAGATATGACCCCAAGATAACAGATAATAAATAAATATGGATAATAACCATAAGGGAGAAATACCTTGTTTATAGTGTGAGTGACTGGGTAAGGAGTGGTTTGAGTTACTGAAATCTAAAAGCAGAGAAGAATAGGAGAAGACAGAGTAGGGACCGGGTGTTCTTCCAGGGGACAGGAAAAGCTCATTATGGACACGTGCACTTTGAACGGCCTGCAGGAAGTTCAAGACAAGAGACCAAGTACAGTTAGTTACATACATTTGGAACTCTAGATAGTGGGCAAGAGATGTAAATGAGTGGTTATAAGTACATAAATAGTATCGATGTGTGGGAGAGGAACTGGAGTTTCATTTTGGTGTGCACACACAGCCATCCCCTAGCACGGGTGGGTAGTTTCAGGATCTCCCCACCACAGACCCCAAAATCAGAGGCTCAGTGACCACATGTCCTGGTTCGCGAAGACGGTCCTGACAGACATCTGCGGCAGAGGCCTGGCAACCACACCTGTCTCCTCTGCTTCGGACTATAAACTGCTGGTCGGGTGGCGCAATGCACTGCAGTGTCTTTCTTCCCCTTCCCCGGACGAGCCTCTCAGGACCCCTCTGCCCGCAGCCCCAGCTGTCCATGGGCCTGTCCCTTGGGACAGTGCCTCCTCATCCTGCGTCACAGTCAGGAACTGAAGGCTCCCAGGATGACACTGAGTGCAAGGGCAGATTCCTGGGAAATATCCGGGAAGCCACGAGGTGTCCCCGGCCCAGCAGCCCACAGAGTGACCTCGGCCGGGCCGCTTCTGACTGCTCTTCAGACAGCTGAGCTAATGCTTGTGCTCCTGCAGTGCTTGTGGCCTCTCCGTGGTGTGCCATGTGTATTTTAAGGTCTTTCCTTAAAGCAAATTCAAATTTAAGAAGCAGCCACCAAGTTAAGGAGTGAGTCTCAGACCTTCCCACTGGCTGTGATATTCAGACCTGTCCTAAGAGAATGTCATGCTTTTTGTGAAAATTAGTCACCAGTGGTAACTCTGTCCTTTACAAGCTCTGCTGGGTGCCACCACACAGGTCTGTCACCAGCTTTGCGACAGCAGGAAGCAGGCTTGTTAAGCCCACTGCTCAATGGTGGTTGAGTTTGGGTTGGAAAAAATCTAATAGGTTTGATTTCTAAAATCTAGGTTTTATTGCTGTATTTTCCCAATGGGTCCAGATAACACACATGTATTAGTGAAGAACAGGTAGGTGTTGTCCATTTTCCATTCCTGCATATTTGTGACCTTGGATTTGCTGTCCACCCTCACAAAAGCATCTTTTTGTCATTTGCAAGGTGGAGATAAAAGAAGTAGCTCCATTGCATGTTGTGTGTATTAAATAACATTCTAGGTGTATTTCATGGTACAATTTCAGGTGGACATTATTACTGTTACTTATTTGCAATAGTTTACTTGGTATCATTCCTTAGTTACATCACTGAAACAGAGTCCTAGACACTTCCACCAAGCCATACTTTCTTGTATTCCTTTGATATAATGGTTAAGATGAAAATACAATTCTCATCATTTTATAAAAGTCTGATAAGAGGGAAAATAAAAGTCTCTAGTGTATTTTAAAACTTGCCCTAAATGAACAGTTTAGGGATCGTTTGGTTTTGCCTGTCAGAATCATGGCTGGAGGGCGGAGATCTGGGGATTATTGACACAAAGACAAGCATTTTCCTGGCCAGTCCCAAGGACACAATGACCTTTGAGTCCCAAAGCAAGAGGCCATCTGAACTGTAGCCAGAGCAACCCTGGGAAGGAGTAGGAGAAATCATACTTTACAGATTAGTTTTTCCAACCCTCCTGCCCTTAAAGCCAAAGAGGCAAGCACATTTTTTTTTTTAAATCTGGCTCTGTGTTTCTGTTCTGTCAAAGATCAGACATTACCAGTATTTTATTTAATTCCATTGTTTTTTCCAGAGTACTGCCTTGCAGCTGGCCAGGTACAGATGCATAATGTATAAATCAGTCTTGTGGACTGTTATATTAAATTCTGGGGAATTGCTGATTGTCTTCAGATAGCCAAGAATGTTTCTCATGTGAGGTTTTCTAAAGCCCAGCCAGACTTGCAGTGGATCATATGCCCAGTGGCTAAGTGTAGGGGACAAAGGTCAAATAGCCCCAGTGTCCCGGGTAGGACCACAGCATTTTGTAGCTGTGCTGTGGCTCTGGGGCTGGTGAGCATTGGCACAGTGACCATTAAAGGTGCCACACTTTACTGGCTGAAAGACAAGTTCTGTTTCATAGTGATTGGCTTGGGTCATGCAAAAAGAACCACAAAAAAATTTCAAAAATCTTGCTAATTCAGAGCAAAATAACGGCACCCTTGGCTAGAAATGTGACATACATTTGTGGAACATGTCACGTGTCTCTTAGGATGGATAATGAACCTCAATTGCATTTACCACTAACGTAGATTTATGAGTGAAGGCGAGGAGTCACTGAGGAAGAGCCGCGGGCCAGACTTAAGATGCAGGAAGACAACTGAATGCCCTTTCCCCCTGCCTGGAATGTCTCCATCTCTCTTGCCAACCAAGGCAGGTGGCAGTAGAGAGACAGTCATGGGGTTTGCTGGGAACTGGGCTAAGGTGCACTTCGACCCAACAGATAGTCAGCTACTGAACACCTTGTGTTAGTGGAAACAATATTCTTTTCTACACAGTGAAGTCAGTAACTGGTTTAAACCAGAGTCTCTTGGTTCTCACTTAACCACTGTGGTTCCTCAGGAGCTGGGGACCTAGGAGCACATGGGCTGTTGTTATGACAACATAACTCACAGTGAAGAAAGACTCTTCTTTAACACAACAGTTGTCCACATCATGGAGGAAGCTTTGCACATCGACCTTAGATGGGATACAATTCAGTCTGGTGAGTTTCTACACTTGCTGCTCTGTGATTCCAATTATTTTCCAGAAATTTCAGAAATATGGGAGTCACAACGAAGTTCGGCAGAATGAACGATCGCCTGGATCACACACCTTAGCACCACATGAAGTGGGGGTGTCTCCTGGCACCCTTCCCATGAAAGAGGGTCAGGGACCATCACACTCACCAAATGCATGACTGTCTCCGCTATAGGTGCTGTGCTAGATGCAAACTTCAGAGGCAAAGGTGTTCCTAGCGATGGTGGAGAAGGTGTTCCAGAAAGAAACTACAAGTTACACAAGGGTTCCAGGGGCATTGTGGTAGCATAGCACCCATGCCTGTGTCGCCAGCTGCTTGGGTTCTCTCTGTGGCTTGACTGGGTAGAGAGCAGCACTGAGAATCTTCGATGGTTTCAGACACTGGGAGATGTTGGAATGAGACCTGGACATTTCACCTGTGGGATGGATGTGGATCCTGGGAACTAGGGCTGGACTCTGGTAGCTAGCTAGCATAATGCCCTCAAATATGCCCATGCCCTAATCCCCTAAGTCTATAAATATGTTAGCTTAAATGGTAAAAGAAGCTGTGTAGGTGCGACTGAGTTGGAGAAAGGAGTAGTATCATGGAGTATTTGGGTGGGTCCATGGAACAGAGAAGCAGGAAGACTAAGGTAGGAGAGGAAGAGGAATCATGGAAGCTTAAATCAGAGGCGGGTGGGGCTTGAAGATGAAGGTCCTAAGCCACTGGCTTTGAGGATGGAGAAAGAGGCCACAAGCCAAGGAATGGGGATGGCCCTGAGAAACTGGAAAAGTCAAAGAAATGGTTTTCTCCCAGAGCCTCTGGAAAGAAGTCAGCCTTGCTCACATCTCTGTTTGGGGATTTCTGATCTCCAAAAGTATAATATGAATTTGTGTTGTTTTGATCTAAATTTGTGGTAATTTACAATAAGCAGCAATAGGAAATTAATACAGAAGTGTTCAGGAAGTTGCAGAGGTTTCCATTTTAGTTCCTGCACTCCTTCTCAAAGAGAACCCAGAAATGACACTGGCATCCAGATAAGCTCTGCAGCAAGGGCAGGGAAAAGAAGAACCTAAGAACAGGCCATTTAGCAGGCTCTGAGAGCAGTCAGTTTCCTGGCCACTGGCAATGGTCAATCCCAGCCAGATTCCAGAGGGAGCTGCCCATTGGCCAGGCCATCAGCATGAGCTCTGGCAGAGGAGTAACTACTGTGACTGTTTCCCTTCTGCAGAGAATAAACTAGGGTTATTGTTGATTCAAAAAAGAATAAGGCCACTGCCCCCATTGCTTCTACTTTTGGCAGCCAGACGTGATGTTATTTCCAACGCTGTGACTAAGGCAGCATCTACACTCTGGTTACAGGCTTGTTACTGTACTTCCTTTGGCCCCTTGCCTTGGGTCTAAAGCCGAATGCGGGCTCCGGCATTTCTGGGAGCCTGTCCATGGCTGTGGCTGTGAGTGGCTTTGGGCCTTCGTCTGGAAATGCCTGTATCCAACTCAGCCCAATCGGGATTGTCACTTATGTGCCATTTGCTAACGCACAGGTAATAATCTGGTGGCCATTTGTGCTGGAAAGATTTGAGCCTGACTCTGTTTAAATAACAGAATAATTGTGCAACAAATCCAAAGCCTGTTTTTACCCACTTAGGACACTGTGAGTCCAGAAGTAAGTGTAAGTCTGCTGTTGCGGTTCTACAAAGTTTAGTGGCCCCTGGACATTTTATTCTTTTCCACTTCTCTTAAAAAATGGTTCCTAGATGCTTAACTCCATCTTTACAGCAACACACTTGTTCGCTGCTCTGCCGCAGGTGTTTGCAGTGTGGGTCTCTGACAGAAGGGCCCATCACCTCTGGAGGCTGAGAAAAGCCCCTCAGGGAATAGGCTGGTTGGCTGGGGTCAGCTTTATTAGCCATAAGCGATTATTTTCAGTGATTTATTGGAGACCGAGATCAAAGTATTGAAGCTTTAATAAATCCTGCTAATTCTCAGATGATCAAGGAGAAAAATATAGCTCCCTTCCACAAATTTTAAAGCTGTAATTTGTCTTTTATCTGAAAATATTAGGTTGGTACGATTCAACTAAATGGCGGGGCGGGGGAGAGGGAGGGAAAGAGATTATATGTTGGATTATGGCGTAAGGATCTGTGGTGTTTTTCCCTATAGAAATGGTCGCCTGACACTGACAGACAGCCTCTGGAGTTAGCAGAGTTGGGGGTGTTTGTGCTCAGTAGTTCTGCAGCGGCACGCACAGCCAGTGCACTTTGTCTCGCCTGTGACTGGGCTCTAGTCGGGAGAAACAGCTCTCCCTGAACCTTTTTGCTCAAGCCTCGTGGTGGTGGGAAAGCGATGAAGTTAAAGAGGCCCAGCCGAGCTTCGGGGCTTCACTGTGCTCACCCCCGCGCCAGCAGAGAGTGAATTTACCTGTTCTGTGCTGTGCTGAAATTGGCTGTGCTCGCCGACCTAAAATGCGCTCCGCAGAGCGAAGATTGACAGCATTTCACCTCCGCTAATTACGATGAAGCTCCAGGAAGGCGGCCTTGGGAGAGGGCAGTGAAAGGAATGGGCACTTTTGACTGCTGATTTGTTAAATGATAATTATCACTGATAAGTTGTAGTTTAGAATTCATCTATCATTTGTTGAATGGTAGTCGATGCACATCTGTGTGCGTGTACATTTGTGAACGTGTACCTGCATGTGGGGGTGTGTTGTGGCTTAGGTCTAAGGTGTCCCCCGAAGGCCTCCTGCACCCTGAGGCGGAGCTTGGACGCTGCAGCTGCCATGCCCTGGGAGGTGCATGTCCCTGCCAGCTCCCCCTTCTTGCTCTGCTTCCCGGCCACCGTCTTGATGATGGCAGATGGCTAACCCATCCCCTCAGAGGAGGACAGACAGCCAAGAGAGATGTCTCTGGTATTGCTCAGTTTAGCAGCCAGCAAACCAAATGTATTAAAAGGACTTTTGCAACATTTTGAAATATAAAACATTCCTTTATTTGAAAATATGGCCCAGAACTGCTAAAGGAGGCGTTCTGTACCTCTTTGCAATAAATTAAACAATCATTTGGTTCGTTTAGAACCAAAAGCTAATATATAAAAGCAAACAGGTGAATTTTAATACACATTTTTGGAGTTCTTCAAAATATTTCAGTGTGAAGCATATTGATAACAGCATTGAGACAGGTCCTCGATTACCTGAGATTGTGTTTAGCATCACAAATGAACTATTTAGAATAAAAGCTTTATGTAATAAAACTTTTAATTTTTTAGAAACTAAAAACATTTAAATGTTTAATTTTACATTACTACTGCTTCAAAAAAATAACACATGTGGTAGTCACATGATTTCTAAACATTAAATTTTGCCTATTTTAAGTGTTTAGATATTTTGGGGAAGGCAGGATTTAAAAGTATTTTCCTACTACTGGTAGCTATAAGACAAAACACTGAAAGAATTTACCATTTTCCTTAACATATTTTATTGGTTTGAGAAATAATTATTTTATTTCTAAGAAAATTTTCTCTCTACTTACAGGCTGCTCACTTCAACATCCCAACAAAACTCCCTCTCCAGAGAGTTACGCTAGGTACCTATGTAAATGTTTCCCTATTTGAGCTTTCATACCACCAACAAAATAAAGCATTGTATCAATACTGATCAATATGCCCTGAGCAGAAGGTGTACCTCAGTGAACTCAGCATGGGTGAGGCTCTGTCTTCAATTCCCAGCATCAAAAAGTAATACATTAAAATAATTCCCCAAATTAGGAAATTCTGAGCAGTATAAAATTATAATCAAACTAACAGACCATAGTGAACCCTTTTCATGCATACAGATTTTTTCTACTAGTAAAGAACTATGCTAACATTAAAAACCTTTATCTAAAGAGGAGTTTCATTTTCCTTTACTAAAATGTTGTCATATTCATTAAAATATTGACTTTTCCTCCTTTTATGAGCTTATTAGGTAAAATTATACATACAATTGCAGGTTATCAGGAGAGCAGGGGATTTGGAGAGAGCAGAGAAATTTGGATCTTTGGACTTAAATTATTGTACAAGAATTCCTTAAGAACTGCTTTCTTCAGAGGACTTCTTTGAAGGGCTAGACTCGTTCTCCCTCCTGAAGCAAAATGTATGAAGAATGGCCTCTCTATAGTAGGCCCTAGGCTGTGCAGGGTGGTGATGGCTGAGAGGCAGGAAGTGAATGAGGGGGTCCTTCCCTTGGCCTTACGGCTGCCTGGAGAGAGTTCCCACACAACAGAGTTTAAGGAGATGGAGCCAAGAACCTGGAGAGGCCAGCGCAGTGTGAGCGTGGCAGACAGCAGAGAAGACAGCTACAAGGAGCGTGTCCTGGAAGGTGCTGTGAGGAACCCACCTGCAGCCAGGGAAAGAGGCACCTTAGCAAGCAGTCACTGAGACCCACACAGGCCTTGGGGTCACCAGGGCACAACACAGCCTGGTCCACAGAGCACCAGGCAGAGGCCTCTTGAGCATCACAGAGAACTTAGATCAAGTTCCTTCATAAAATTATAGGAGTATAAAACTACCCAGTGAGATGAATATCACAAATCTGGATGCCAGTCAAATGCTACCAGATGTACAGGGAAGCAGAAAGTAGAATTCAGAATGACTAAAGTAATCAATTAATAGAAATAGACCTAGAAATGACATGAACAGAATAATTAATGAGGACATGAAAATGTATGATTTCAGGCAGCAGTAGAGTGGTGGTTGCTAGGGACTAGAAGAATGCGGAATTGGGGGTATGTAATGGGTGCAGGCTTTCAGTTTTATAGGGTGAAAAGATTTAGGGAGGCAGAAGGTAGTGACAGTTGTACATTACAAGTGAATTTAATACCACTGGACTATACATTTCAAATAGGTAAGATGTTCAATTTTATATGTTAATTCTAGAATAGAATAAAAATGGAAAAATTAATATCTGTGTCCCATATGTTAAAGAACAAAGAAATACTGAGCACATTGGGACAAATGTGGAAAGTTTACAGTATTCTCAATTGAAGTTCTAGTAATAAAGTTCTTGAGATGAAAACCATACTGCATAGGATAAATAGCATATTAGACACTGCAGAAGAAAGGATCAGTAACTTTAAAGGTGGAGCAATAAAAACAGTCTAAAATGATGAAAAAGAAAAGAAAGTAATGAAATATAAATAGAGCATCATGTAACTGGGTGACTACTTCAGGGCTGCTACTATACATGTAATTTGAATTCCTGTGGAAGAGAAAACAGAAAAAACACTTGAAAAAATAATGGCTTAAATTTTTCCAGATTTCATGAAAATCATAATCTCATAGATCCAAGATGGTCAATGAAACTTTGATATAAGAAAGATATGGCTGAGCTGGGGTTTTTTATAACAAAAATACAGGCTTTCCCATACAACTCACCTACTTAAACAGATATAGCACTTTTATTAAAAGTTGCCATTTTCAATAGCTGAAGTTCTATTTTTAGTTCAAGGAAATCTTACTGAACAACATTGTGTAAGAGGTAAAATAAGCTCACTGTATTTCCCAAGAAGTTTCTGTAGTATTTGGAAAGTAATATTTGTGACTTTAAAATACTTGGTTCCATCAAGCCAACCATTTCCTCATCCATATTTTCCTAATTCTTCCTTTTACACATTCCTTTTGTCACCAATGAGCTTATGGTTCCATTTAATAAAGTACGGAGCTCCTTAAGTATTTAACATGAAACACATGGTGATGGACACACCCAGAAGCACTTAAGTCAGTGGGATATTCAGAAAATGTCCCATTCACTATAGCTCTGGGTTCCAAAAAATGTAAATCAACCACACCCATCTAAAATAATTTTGGATGGAGTACTTGAGTTAGGATATTTTCAGAGAAACAATCACAGAAGAAATTCCTTAAAGCAAAAGTATACAATAGTTCTTTCTAACATTCAATACACCAGGAGTATTAAATCTAGTTTTTCTTTTTTAAAAGATGGAACCACTTGAGGCCTTCT